AACCAATCGAAGGATGAGGAAGCGGCACCGTACACGGGACTAGTTCGCCACGCCGATCACGAACGTGAACGGTGCGTCGATGGAAGTTCACCGGATGGTCTTCGCTTCGCAGCCACGACATGCCTAGGATCATATCGAACTTGGTGTCCAATATGTCTGCAAGACACGGCCTCGCATGCTAGCGGGGCAAAGTACACGGGCACCGAGTCAACGCATCAGTCGATTGACTTTTGTGTGTGACCATCGGCCAATGTGACGTGCGTAGCCTGACTTTTCCTTCGAACGCGCGGGCCAAGCCCGGCGCGTGCCATGAAGTCTTGGCTGATGTAGTTGCGAGTCGCTCCACAATCGATCAAGGCACTGCAGGTCCCCTTTCCGATCTGAATGTGGATGTAGAGGAGCGGCGCGTCGATGTCGACGTACCGTTGCGTTGCGTACTCGCGGTTGATCTTCGCAAGATAGCTACGAAGGTCAACAACCGCTACTTCGCCGTTCGTCGACGGAGGTGGTACTGCAGCATGCAAGTATTCGCGCAGATGTGCCATTAAGGCATTGCAATGCGGTGTTGGCAAAGAACCGGTGGAGGGAAGAGGCAACCATTGGAAGTCCTCAACCGTCAACGGGTCGAGTTCCTCTAGACTCGCCCAAGTTGACGGATCCTCGGATAGAAGGGCTGGCGAAGCAACCGGTTCATTGTCCGACGGCGGAACTACCGCGCATGCGCTTGAATCTTTCACGTGGAGGGGCTGGTTCAACAGTGGGACCAGCTCGACAGCATAGTTCTCAAACTCAATGCGAGAACTTGCTACTACCGTGTCATCCCCGGATGTGAGAGAGACTGCTAGCAAGGCAGCCGACTCCGGCGGATTGGGAAGTGATGTCGCTGCATTTTCTGTGGTGCTCAGTATCCCGAGCTTGGACGCTTGACATTTTCCTTGTCCTTGTCGAGGCATGCGCTAGTGATGTGTTTGGTGCTGTTGCACCACAAACAACATGACCATTTTTGTCACAACTTGAACATGTCTTCGGTATGCCGAACTTCGTCCATGGTGACTGTCGTGCTCCATCCGCCGACATTGGTTTCACCTTTTGTTTTCCCCCTCGGGGTCTTGAGCGTTGCGGTGGTATCGCTGCCGCCACATCTCCGTCACTTGATGTAGACGCGGCTGCGGGGTCCTCATTTGGTCTGTGCTGGAGCGCTGCTTCTTGTGGCGTCCGTTGACCTTTTACTTTCTCCACGTAACCGAGCTGTTGGCGGGTCTCGTTGGCCGCACACCGGTTACCTTGGATTAGTTCTCTTGCCTTTGAGATCAGATCATCAAAGGTCTCATACTGGAATTCGGTGCCCAGCGCAGCTGTCAAGGCGCCGGATTGCGTCGAATGGTAAGTTCAACTCCGGGGTGGTGACGAGTCTTTGCCACTCCGTCAGCCACTCGCGTGACGTTTGCTGGCCTTGGTATATGCGGAAGATCTTGTTCATGGCGTGCTGTTTGTCATTGTTGACCATGAACCGGGTCTTCCATTTCTTCTCGAATTCCTCCCACGTAATCTTAGTGTGGAGGTTGGCGATGGTGCATTCCAACATGACGGCCATGTGTCATGGAAGTCTGCGCCCCTCCGATGAGTTGGAGGTAGGGTGCGTCAAGCCGCCGATGGGCGGGTGTGTGATGTACATCCGCCTCTGCGTTGAAAGCCATCCACCATTGCAGCGGATCGGTCTTGTGATAGTCATCGAACTTCTCGATCTTGAAGTTCGGCATCTTCCATTCCTTGGCGGCAGCGGCCGGTCGTTGCTCGATGCGGTCGCTGAGCGTTTGCAGCTGATTGCTGACTGTCGATGCTCCAGCAAACTTGCTGATGTCGCCGAGGGATGCAACCATGTGGTTGATCCGCTCTTCGAATTGCTTGGCCTGCGAGGCCAAAGCTGGGCTGCAGTCTACCACTGCACTGCCCGTTGACGCAGCTGCCGACAGTTGTGCCAACCCCATGCTGACATCTGTCTGCAACTGGTCGTTGAGTGTCTGCTGCTGGCTGTTGGCGGTGTGTAGTGTGCTGATCTCGGCCTGCAGGGTCGCAATCTTCTTGTCCAATGCCTTGAATGTTGTTTCATGGCGGATGAAGACCTGCCGCATGGCCAGCAGTTCGCGTTGCTGCCAATTGCACGTGTACAGCAGATTCTCCATCAGTACTGCTGTACCTTCCTTGTTAGTTTCTTCCTCGGTCGGCTCTTCCCGTTCCTCGGTTTCGTGGAAATGCTGTCGTTGAAGTAGCCTGCTATACGTGGCTTCGATGTGTGCAAGGTCCATCGTGGCTTGGTAACGAGCTTGGTGTTGACTTGCCCCGACCTGCTGCTGTTGCAACCGTGCGGCTGCTGCAGCTTCTGCTGCGGCCTGCTGACGTGCTGCCTCTGCCTCTGCCAGCTGGCGTTGTATTTCCTGCTGGCGGGCGGCTTCCTCCTCTTCCGACTTGCTGAGATCATCCACAGACAAAGGGAGAGAGGAGAGAGACGAAAGGAGGAGGAGAGGGATGATGACGTCAACTCAATGTTTCCAAAGATCGTGTCTTGAAATGTCAGAAGTGACGAAAATCCGAAATGTTGCGAATGCCAAGTCTCACAATATCTCAGATATCGATCCCACAATGTCAAGTACATCTT